GAAGGAGGGAGGGAGGGAGGGAGGCAGGGAGGGAGGGAATGAGAAACATCGATTTGTTGTTCTCCTTATCAATGGTTAATTCTTTTATGTGCTCTGATGGGAATGGAACCTGCAACCTTGACATACTGGAACAATGCTCTAACCAAGTGAGTTACCCAGCCAGGGCATAAGTTCCAAATTCTTAACACTATTATGCAGAGTCAACACTCAAGCCTGCAGAGAGCTCACTTCTATGCTAAATAATTATTAAAACATTTTTTCTAAATAAAGGCAGTTATTTTGTTAAGAAAAATTGTGGTAACAGCTGTTAAATATAATTTTCTATATAAGCTGTAATATAAATTTCTTTCTCTTACCACATGCATATGAATCATCTACAATATCAGCAATATTTTAAAAATTTTACACATAATGGAAATTTTCTGTGAAATATAAGTACACTTGATAAACACAAGGCAGTACTCCCAAATTCATTCCAGCATTTCAACATCCAAGATAAAATAATGACAGCACACCATGGTAAACTTGTTTTTTAAAAAAGGTTTATTTGTTACAAAATGTTAAATACTAAAGCTAAAAACATATAAATTCAGATCAGGCTATTAAAATACACACATACCCTTCTTTGCAAAATTATTAAAGATTGAATTAAACAGATGCTTTAAATAAAATAAAATACTCTTGAGGACATTTTTTGTATAATTAACTGTATCACTGTAGTGTAGTTTTTAAAATTATAGTTGAAAAGTTTATCTCTCTTGAAAGTCACATTTATCCAATTCTTCAGTTTTCTGCTACTGCCCAATACAAAGCCACCATGCTGGCTTGGACTGGATGAATTTCAGTTATGTTACCGAAACTTCTATGTTACAAGCCTACTCTCCTATAATATGAACACAGAGTAGCCAGAAGTATACAGAGGGTTACATAAGGTGAAAACCTGGCCCAGAAAGAAAAGGCCTAAGCTCTGCCATAGGGTATCTTCTCTAATGAAAACGGTTGGTAAATACATTGAAGCAGAGATCAGCACAGAGCATACATTCCTCTAGAAATAATCTTTCCATTAAAAAAAAATCAAGAGTATTCATTTCTCCAAGATAGCTTAAGAGTATTTTTAAATGTTTTGTTATTTTAAATTGAGTTAATTCAAAGATTTTAATCTAGATTTAAAAACTAATTTGATTACTGTCCTGACTAGCTCTGGAGAGCCCTGACATCTGTGCGTGAGTCACTCACACAGGTGGGAAAGAACTTTTATAATAAAAACTACAGGCTGAACACCAACAGAGCACCAACTTCTAAACTCAGCTCCAGTCAAACAACCTAAAAACGATCTGTGGTCTATTTAAATGTTAAATAGTATTTGTAAGAATATATTTTGCTTTAAAGCTTTTATTTTTCAGCTTCCTAGATTAAGAGTTACTGATTTAGAATTGTAAGTGCTCCATTTCACGTGGGGGTAAGGATAGGCTCATGAAGAACAAAACGCTATCACTGCATTTNGTGACTGATTTAGAATTGTAAGTGCTCCATTTCACGTGGGGGTAAGGATAGGCTCATGAAGAACAAAACGCTATCACTGCATTTTAGAAGTTCTTGAATGTGAATGAATTTCTAGAAATCCACTAGTGTCTATTTTTATGATACTAGTCCATGCCAAGGGGGGTTTGCCAATAGTTGATTAACTTAAGTGATTAAAATACAAAACCATAAAATGCATTCCAGTAATCTTCATCAACACAATTCAATTAAAAGCAGGTTTCTTCGAAGAAATATGTAGGCAGTTTTTATAGTTTCACTCTGACAGTGTTGTATACACCCAAGGACTAGTCATATGTGATTCTAATGCTATAGTATAAAACTGTTTAATCAAACTTTTGAACAGCTGGGAAACTATGTGTATTCTAAAGTACTTAGAAATTAAAAGAAAAATATGTCCAATACTGAATTACATTACAGATGAAAATGATGCTAATGATAACATAGTAATCTGGCTTTCTACCTCTCAGCTGTGAGCTTCTCGTGTAATTATTTCTGTGGACATATAACACGAGAGAAACTATAATTCTGTCCTCTACCCTAGTACCATTTTCTCTACATGTAACAAGTCTTTCATCTGTATCCTTTCTTTTAACTCACCAGGTAACCTAGAAGGACAAAACTCATGCTACTCTACGTCAAATAACCTTACCAGGCCTCAGAAGAACTCAAATAATTCAAGCCACTGACATCCTAATCTTAGTAAATATACTAAAACAAAAAAACATCTTGAGTCTTCGATAGCAAATTCTCTAAAAAGCATGTTTTCCTACGAGCATCTCCATAAATACGTATTAAAGTCCCACTGGTCAGTCACTTTTACCAATATCCTGGTTTTACAGAATGATCGAGAAAGTATTTGTTCATCTGTGATAGAGCCAGAACTCTGAGTGTTTTAAAGATAAGACAACACAAGGCATTTCTCACTTGCTAGCCAAGGTGGCACAGAGGCCCTGGAGGGGATAGATTTCCCCAAAGATCCCAGCACCCCCACATGCTCTCTTCTCCCCAGAAGGCCTCTTCTTCTTCCCTCAATGTCAGTCCCTCTTTTCTGCTTTCAGGGACAATGATGTTTGAGCAAAAAAACATAGTACATATCGTGCTACAAGATAGACATAACTTTGGGGGGCCCAGTACAAAGTGAAAATGCAGGGCCCCTCTTTGAGCATTATTATGAATTTCAAGGTGGTGATATCAGAGCACAGAACCAAGCGGGGGCCCTTCTAAGCCCTACATAGGTTACCTGGCTAGAGTCATTCCTGTTTAGGTTTCCTGCCTAATCAGAGTCCCCGGGAAGAAACAAGGGGGCTCAGTTGGGCTGTTCAGACAAAAAACAGAATTTTTTTTTCATGATGGTTCAAACACTGTCACTGATTTGGAAACAAGTGTCATTTCACATTCAAAATCCCAGGCAAATTACGATTCCTAAATCTCAGATTAATCAGTCCTCCCCTAGGTTTTTCATTATAGAAATAGTCAAACTGGGTCTTTAAATGCCCCTTATTTTAACAAAGCAATTAATCAGACACGATGAAATTTCTGTATTAATCTTACATAATTAAAAAAAAATTTAAACATTTCTTAACTGGGAAGGCTATTAGTATCCCTAAAGCAACAGGGCATCTTAAAGAAAATAAGTAGCTGGACACCAGCGTTATACACTAGGTGAAGCCTTAGATTTAGCCTATGGTATATTTTGTTCCCTTTTAAGATCACAATAGTAGTTTTTCAGAGAGAGCTAGTAAACACATTAAGCTGAATGGTGATTTTTTTTTAAACACCCATGGATTTTTTTTTAACGCCTGTGTTGCGGTCACAAGAATTTTACTGGAACCCAGAGGTATCCCATTTTCGTAATAATAATTTTAAAAGTGTACGTCTGTAAAAGTGCCAGGTCACATTACTACGCAGCGACACTTCCGGGAGTGGATATACTTCCTGTACTCTGCGAGCTGCTTCAAGTACAGATTCGACGGCCACCTGTGCTTTTCAACAAAACTGCGTTCTTCCACTAAAACGTTTAGGAAAAAAAGTTAAGTGAATATATTTTATTCGGGATCGAGTTCAGGTATTAATTATTGGTTTCCCGTTTACTGGATGGCACCCAAGCTCTCCTATATACTCCCTACTCTTCCCCTCAGGCCTTCCAAAACCATTAAATACAATTTTGGTTAAATCAGTCATCAGGATACACCTTTCCATTGCTTCATCAAGTAGTATTTGATTACGTTCTTTTTTTTTTTTTCATATAAGACTTGTTTTTCCTGGAGATGACAATGGACTCATTTTTTTTTCATTTAATTGGTTTTTTCCTTTGTAACTAATTCAACCTTCCGACTCTTTAAAGTCCGCTCAATCCTATCTTCCACCCAGCCAGAGGTATCAGATAATCTATCTCCTGCTGCGGTGCCGGTGCCGGTGCCCAGGAGGCCCTTTCCCTCCCAGCCTGTGCCCTGCTGCTTTCTAGGCCTGCTTCGTGCTTTCCAGTTGATCCCTCCACTCCCAGACGGCAGGTCCTTCACTTTGTTCATTCTCTAGTTTTGGTGAAGCAGAACTTTGCTACCTTCCTGAAAAAGGTGGGTGCATAAGAAGTATTTTTGAGACCTCGCTTGTGATGAAACGTCTTGAATCTCTCCTCACACACAATTCATAATGTGGTTTGGCACAGAGTTCTAGGCTGAAAACCTCGCTCAGAATGTTGGAGACAGTACTCCACTGCTTTCTAGTTTCCAAGGTTGCTGAGAACCCCACTACCATCCCGATTCACAGTCCTTGGTAAGTAATATGTTTTGTTTTTCTATCCAGTAAACTTTCCGATTTTTTCTACTTAAGGTGGCATTCTTACATGTCTCAGTAACGTGCCTTGTTCACCGAGCTGAGCACTTCCAATCTGCTGACTCAAGGCTTTTACTGGGATAACTTCTTGTATTATACCTTCATAATTTCCTCCCTATTGGTTTTTTTTTTCTGTATTAACTTTTATTATTCAGAAACTTCACCTCTTGGATTAAGCCTCCAACTTTTTTTCAAATCTTTCTGTCTTTTTGTTCTTCCTGGGAGATTTCATTATCTTTCAATTATTTTATTCAGTTGGGTTTTTTGCTGTTATACTTCTAATTTCCAGGAATGACTTCTTATTCTTTTATTACTTTTTATGCAAATTGTTGTAAAATACGCATAAAATAAAATAAAATAAACCATCTTAACCATTTTTAAGTGCACAGGGTATAAGTAGTGTTAAGTACATTCGCATTGTTGTGCGACCAAGCTCCAGACCCTCATCTTGCAAAACTGAACCTGTGCCCATGAAACAACAACTCCCTCTCCCCCTCCCCCAGTCCCTGGAAACCACCACTCTACCTTCTGTCTTTACCATTATTATTTCTTTTTAGTAACATTCTATTTCTGCTTTTTATGGATGTATATCTCTTATTCTTCGAGGATATTAACTTTAAAGTTTTACTGTTGTTTTTGTTTGTTTTTTAGGTTTACTTCCACTCCTTGTGTCTCTTTACTCCTCTAAGTTCCTTCTTGTGAGATAATAGAAAATTATTATCTCTGCACCAGTTCTTGGCATAAAACTCCTGAAACCCTTGTTATTTCCTCAGTAATAAGAGCACCAGGAGCATCTTTTGTTCTAATATGTGGTCTCTGACCCCGGTTTCAAGGCTCCTGAAACTGCTGTAATTTCCTGGGTGATGGTAGAGTCTTTTATTCTAATTAGGCAACTCTGGGTGGGCTCCTGGATGAGGGCTGATCACCGAAAAGCCACCATTAGAAGCTTGGACTTTTCAGTCCCCTACCCTCGCCAATCCCCGCCATTCTCTTAAGAAAGAAAAGGACTGAAGATGGAGTTGATGATCAGTCATGCCTACGTAATGAAGCCTCTATCAAGTCCCCAAACTACGAGGTTCAGAGAGCATCCACCTGTAGGGACGGTGCTGCACCCCACTCCAATGCACAGGTGCTCCCGCACTCAGGATGCCCCAGGCCATACCCTATGTATCTTTTCATCTGGCTGTTCATCTATACCCTTTAATAAAGCGGTAAACTTTAGTAGGTGTATCCCTGCACTGTGTGAGCTGATCTAGCAAATTAATTGAACCCAAGGAGGAGGTCATTGGAACCTCTAATCTATAATCAGTTGCTCAGAAATACTGGACTTTGACTGGTGTCTAAAGTGGGGTGGGGCTGAGCCCCTCACTTGTGGGATCTGACACTAAGTATCAGACCTGAGTTAAATTGTAGGACACAGACGGTGGTGTGGAGAATTGCTTGGCGTGGGGTGAAGCCCCACACATTTGGTGACCAGGAGTGACAGAAGTGAAGGGTTTTGTGTGAGTAGTAAAGGAGACACACAGGAGAAAGGCTCGCAGGAAAGAAACACCCAGGTAGAGAGACTGTAGGTTTTTCCTATTCACTTCTCTTTAGGCTTTTTTTCATTGTGTCTTGGTTTGGGTATCTATCTTTCAGGTTGGACATTGTCTCAAATATCTGTCGATCCTCAATTACCTCTTTATACTGAAGTGTGAGACACTGGAAAGCTGTTTGGAATCTCTGGGGCCTGGGTCAGACTTGCTGACTGGTGGAAAACGCCAAAGCACGATTGAGCAGATTAACGTTGGGCTCATTGAAATAATTCCCAGACGAGGCCAGAGAAGGATGCTTCAATTTCATGTCCAGACTATGTGAGTCGAGGTAGCAAATACCTGCCTGCCAGAATTCTAGAATCTGGGTATGGGAAGGAGGCTGAAGATTTACTATAAAATGTGCACACTTTCACATAATGCCCCTGTTTTCAGTCCAGCTCCTTGTCTGATCTCCACTATACCCAGAGACATGATTTTATCACTTTTTTGTGGTTTAACTTCTTCAGGAATGAACCTTCCACATCCAGTGATGATGAAGGAGAAGCAGTTACCTACCTGGGTGGTATGGTATGTGGCAAAAGCTTCTGAATCAACATTAAAGTAATTCTGTTGCTTTCAGCCCCTAGACTCATTCAGGTTTCTAAGATATCTGGCTCCTTGAATTTCTAAGGCTTTTGGTATTTTGCTGGGTGAATCAGCTTGCTTCCCATCAGTATTCCCTTCTTGTGTAACACACGTCAAGCTACTTACACAGGTGACTATAAGTTAAAGTGTCCTCAATCACCATACTGCATATTTAAAAGCAATGTATTACACTGACTTTTTAATTTTTAAAAACTACTATTCCTATAAATTACATCTCAAACCTAAACAAAGAACATAAAATTTTCTTTCAATACAGTAATTGGCCATCTACCTGAAAGATCCTGAAATTCAGGCTTTTGACTGAAGATGAGGTAGTTAGTGGCAATGAAATGAAGTAGCCAGGTTGAAAGGCAATCAGAGTGGTGAAACTGCAAGAAAAATGGAAAGTGAAACAGTATTGTACATAATGACCATCAATATGATGATTAGATCAGAGAGAACGGTCTGGGAGAACCCCGGAAAGCCCCAATCCATGCTTAATGTGTCTATATATGATGCAGCCTTCAGCCTGCTCCAACAGCAGAAAGGAAAAGGAAGCATTAATGATAAATAATAAAATTACATCGATGAAGAAACAGAATCAAATGATTCACAAGCTCCTGCTGCTTCACTGGCTGAATATCCTTAAGCAGATGTATAGTTACATCTGTGGTTCACAAAGGCTATTTAAGGTTCTTCTGGATTTAGCTTAAGTTTTTAATCTAAGGTCATGGCCTTCACTTAGCAAAGGTATACACTTGGCCAGACCTAAACAAATTCACCTGAGGAGCAAACCAAAAATTATTTTGAGGAGGAAGTGTCATCAACCCAAGGTTATGGGTGGCAATGTGTTAGTATTTCTATGAGAAGGTCATGCCTAAATAGTTGCTTTTAACTCAGATGCACTGTTACACTGAGCAGGATTCCCAGCATGTTTCTCATTCTGAGTTTCAATAGTTAATGGAAGGGGAGCTCAAAGCAATTCAGCCATGACATCATCACCTTGGTGCCAATCCAGTGACATGCACTGATCCATCTAACCACTCAATTCAGGGATGGTAATTTGCTAGCAGGAAAGTCTGATGCATGAGCATAGTTCTTTTTATTATTATTACAGTAAAATATACATAAAATTTACCATTTTTAAGTGTACGCTTTAGTGGCATTATATACATTCACGTTACCATGCAACCATCACCACTATCTATTTTTAGAAGTTTTTTTATCATCCTAAACTGAAACTCTTTACCCATTAAATAATAAATCCCCTTTCCCCCTAGACCCAGTCCCTAGTAACCACTATTTTATTTTACCTTTATGAATTTGTCTATTCCAGGTACCTCATATAAATTGAATTATACAGTATTGGTCTTTTTTCTGTCTGGTTTATTTCACTTAGCCATAATGTCCTTGAGGTTCATCCATGTTGCAGCATGTTAAAATTTCATTCTTTTTAAGGCTGACTAATACTCCATTGTATGTATGTACTACATTTTGTTTATTTACTCATTTGTTGACAGACATTTACGTTGCTTCCACTTTTAGGCTAAATATAGCTCTTTTAAGGATATTTACAAATATTACATAAAAAACAAGTAATGCTAAATTGAAGAAAGATTTGTAATCTCAGGTCTTAAGGAAGAAACTCAAGTATTGCTCTTTTAAAAAGTTATAATGTGAGAATTTTTTTTATAGAAATGTACCTTTATTGATTTCAGAGAAAGGAAAGGAGAGGGAGAGAGAGAGATAGAAACATCAATGATGAGAGAGTCATTGATCGAGCCCGCAACCTGGGCATGTGCCCTGACTGGGAATCGAACCCCGATCGCCTGGATCCTAGGTTGACGCTCAACCGCTGAGCCACACCCGACCAGGTGTAATGCGGGAATATTTTAACATGTAAACTCATAGGTCTCTCTGATTCTTATTACACAAAATCAGAATTTTTGAGTTGTATGAGACTTTATAGTTCATCTAATTCCACATCACATTTTAACAATCTTTTTTCACTTTATATTTTAGCAGATGAATGTGAATGATCTCAAGGGAGTAGAGCAAGAACATGTAGCTATTTTAACAGAAGCCACCAACACTATTAGATTAACCCAGAGCCAATAACCTACCAACAGAAGTTCAGAACATTGCCTGATGGCTGTGACTTTGAAAGAGAAGAAAGATCACAGAAATAAATAGCTGCCTACAAAAACATAGTTTAAATGCAGAATTTTATTTTTGACCAAAATTTAAGGTGGTGTAATTGTGGGTTCTTGGCAAGAGGTGGAATGCACCTCACTATGAACAACTTTCGAGGAAGAATGTGAGCTCACCTGAGAAAACAGAGTAACCGAGATAAACAATAGAATAAAAAAGAAGCCCGGCCACTGTGTCTCAGCGGTTGAGCACCAACCTAGGATCCAGGAGATCCCAGTTCGATTCCCCATCGGGGCACATGCCCGGTTGAGGGCTCGATCCCCAGTCGGGGGCATGCAGGAGGCAGCTGATCAATGACTCTCTCATCATTGATGTTTCTATCTCCCTCTCCCTCTCCCTTCCTCTCTCTGAAATCAATAAAGATATAGGCATTAAAAAAATTAATCAGCGGATACATAGGGCCAATTACCTTGGCTTTCTTGAGCAGGTCAACTATATCGAGGTTCATAGATGCCAGCTCCCTGCTGGGCATGCTCTGCAGCTGTGTGATGATGAACAGCTCACAGATGTGCTGCAGTCTGGACACCTGGTACATTTCAGCACAGATCAGGAGACACATGGCCTGGAAAATGCCAGCTGACACAAGGAGGGAAATAAGAGAAAATGGACAATGAAACCATTTCTTTTATGACGTAAAACAAAACAACGAAAACCCCCAAAAATGCTGACTCTATCATTCGATGCTTGGGACTCTCGGTGCCTCCTGAAATTGTGTGATTTTTTTCCTTCACCAGGTTCGGGAAGTTTTCTGCCATTATTTCTTCAAACAGGTTCTCTAATCCTTGCTTACTTTTGACCTCCTCTGGCACTCCTATGATGCAAATATTGTTACATTTCATGTCGTCCCACAGCTCCCTTAGGCTTTCCTATTTTTGAATTCTTTCCTCTTTTTGGATCTCTGATTGAGTGATTTTTTTCTACTCTGTCTTCTAATTCACTGATCCGATCCTCAGCTTCCTCTAATCTGTTGTTTATTCCTTCCAATGTATTTTTTATTTCTGCTATGTCGTTCTTAATTTCCTTCATAGTTTCCATATCTTTTTTCATGCTGTTGAGCATCCTTATAATCAGTACTCTGAACTGTGTATCTGATAGATTGCTTATCTCCATTTCATTTAGCTCTTTTTCTGCAAACTTCTCTTGTTCTTTCATTTGAGACTTGCATTTCTATCTCCCCATTTTGCTGCCTGTCTGGGTTTGTTTCTATGTATTAGGTAGGCCTGCTAGGACTCTCAGTATTTTTGGAAGGTCTCTGGTCCAGGCCAATGTCAGATGCTGTTTGTAACTGGCCCTGAGTACCCTGTTTGGAGCTATTAACAACCCATGGCTTGAGGGCTCCTCTGTTGGGGATGGTGCATTTGGACAGGACCAAGATACACACCAAAGCCTGCTTTTCCAAGGCCCGGATCCAGAAGCAGATCAGGGAAAGACTCAAAGCACTCTGAAGTCTGCCTCTGCCTGCAGGCTGATTAATCTCATTCTCTTAATAAGCCTCAGGCTGTAGAAACTCCACAGGGTAGGCGAGAGGTTTTCTAGCAGCATGGGGCAACTGCTTCCCCCTCAGGCAAAAGCTGCTTGGAAGGTAAATGTCCGCGTCTGCAATATGGGGAAATGACTCGGCACAGGAATCCAGAGGGGTGCCCTCTGAGCTCTATCTCCAGAGCCCACAACCCTACATTCTCCTCACACTGCTCCAGTCCACTCTGACCTCCCTCTGCTGGAGTCCAAGGTGAGTGGCTGCATACAAAACTTGTGTGTTGGATCTTTAAGAGGACACCTGCATTTCTAGCCTTCTCTCCCTGGCAGACAGAAACCTGGCTGCTTGTCACAGCCAGATGTTATCTGGGCACCTTTCTCAGTTCTGGTGCTCTGGGCTGGGGAGCCCAGCCTGGGGTTTAGGCCCCAGAGTCCTCAGTGGGAACCGCCCCCCAGCTGAGATATGAGACTTTCAGCTGCTGGCTGTGGGAGCCCAGCCAGCCCTCTCGTGTCCACACTTCCTACCAGTCTCTATGTGGTCTCCACTTTTCCTCCTTGGTTATGAGGTGCTTTCCAGCTCATCTTCAGTTGCAGTTGATTTTTCAATATGTTTTTTCTATATTTTAGTTGTAATTCCAGTTTGGTCCTGGGAGTGTCAGTGTAGCTTCCACTCAGTCTGCTGCCATCTTTCATCCTCCTGGTGCTCACATCCATAAGAGGTGGCTCCCATCTTGTACATTATTACATCCCTAGTACTTATGTATTGACCACCTTTCTCCAATTCCCCCCTCCCCCATCCTACCATCAGCCATTTTTAAGTGTACAATTCATTGGCATTAAGTCCATTCACATTGCTGTGCAACCATCACCACCATCCATCTCCAGAATTCTTACATCATTCCAAACTGTAACTGCTTATATCGCCTCCTCCCAACCCTGGCAATCACCCAGGGGTTTTGTTTCTTTAATACTTCCCTATAAGTCTGATTTTTTTGTTATTCTCTTATCTCTCCTTAAATTCTTTATTTCTTAGCTAGGAACCAAGAATGCTGTGCATGATATTTAACATAAGGAATAGATTACCTTTCTTTCTGTGAATTTCCCCATGCAAATATTCCAGTGTCTAGCTTAACTTTTTCGTTATTCATTTTGACTAATTTCCCCCTACATCTTTTACCAATTTTTAAAGTGCTTTTCCTATAGTTATTAGTGCTTTTCTGAGCGTTTTTCCTAATTACCAAGATAAAACCTAAAAACCAAAGCATCAATTACCCTAGTGAGAGGAGGACTGAGAAACCAAATTTTCTTATTACTTCAAATCTCGAGTTTTTTATTTAATATACCTATTTTTCAGTATCGAAATAATAAAATAAACAATAACACTTATTTTGATGAGAATCAATGCTTTTGTTTCTATTATGCAAAATATGATACTCCAGTCTTTACCACTCACAGTAATAACTGTAACTAACTTGCTCCAAAATACTGTAGCTAGCTGCAAGACCAGAATAAATTCCATTAAAAGGGAATTTTCTTTTTTGTAGCTCTAAAATCTTTGACTAGAGGGCTCATGACTTGTTTTAAGCTTTTCAATAACAAACACAGGATATCTTCCAAATTTAAAAATCAAAAGAGTAAACCTGAAGAGAAGAATGGTCTGAAATGTGTGTTTTCTCTTTATATTTGCTAGGGTTCCTGGCCTGGTTCTGTCATTGAGGTCGCTGGCCCCTGGACTAAGTCACCAGGGCCTTATTCTAGTTGTTTTTGTGGCAGGAGCCACCTGGTGGCTGAAGGGTGAAGATTAATCAAAGGGGGTTCCTATGCCGGCATCCCAAGGCTTTAAAGCCTGTTGAAAGGGTTCTGAAATTTCTTCAAGGTGCCTGCAGCTATTAAAACCTGTAAGATCTGTTCCAACCTGTAGCTGCCACAGACAGTTCTTAGTCCAAAGACAGTCAGAGAACAGGGAAATAAAGCCTGTAGTCCACTGGGCACCTAAACATCTTGGGAAAAGTTTTTGAAATCAGCTTTAGGAGAGTTAGAAGAATGCCTTCAAAATACCTATATCCTTGCCCTGGTGGGGTAGCTCAGCTGGTTAGGGCATCATCCGATACACCAAAGTTGTGAGTTCAATCTCCAGGGAGTATACAAGAAGCAACCAGTGAATGTATAAATAAGTGGAACAATAAATCGATGTGTCTCTCTATCTCAAGTCAATAAATAAAAATTAAAAAAAGAGATTGCATTCAAAAACACAAACAATATCCACATCCTCTGGGTCAGAGAAATGACCAAAAATATTGAAAGTCCTTAAAAGTGCCTTTGTCAGAATGCAGAGCCGTAAAAGCAGTTATCCAACTCTCTTCTCATGGAAGGAATAGTGTGCTCCAAGGAGTTTTCTGTCCCAATCTGTAGAACTGGAGTAGCTACTGGGTACCACAAGACACCTCCATTTCCAGGGTGCCCACAGTGACCACCATGCTGTTGGTGCTGGCTGAAACAGGTTAAGTAAGAGTCTGAGAGCCCATAGGCAGTACCCAATCACTGCTCTTCCACTTGAACTGACTGAAAATTCACTGTTGTCCCAACACTACCTCCACCTGCTTAATGGTTTTAGCAGAAAGCAATGTATTAAAATGGCTGACATTTCAGAAAGAAAGTTGTAAGATACTATCTAACATTATACTGCTCACCAGGGCAACAGGAGTCTGTGTATAAGTATTCTAAGAATGACAAGAAAGTCTCTTTGGAAACACCATAAACTGGGATCAGAACACTCTTTGCTTCCATGTAATTGCCATTGAACATAGCTGCCATCACTTCACAGCGTGCCACCAGGATGGCCCTGTGGGCTGGCACCGTTGTACCTGCATGGTTCAAAAGGAAAACAAAGTAAAGATAAGCTTGCAGAATTATTATTCTAGTAATTTTCCTTGTGATTAGACTAGTATTGCATTAGGTACAGCTAAGCTGATACATGGAAACCAAATTTTGTGGTGATAACCAGCATTAATTCAGACACTTTTTAGTTTTTAATTTAAAAATACAGAGTTCAAAAGTTGACTTTGAAACCAACAATTTGCAAGTCAGGCAATTATTTGATACTTAGTTCATGTTTCTTGAAGATCGAAACACTGAAATAAAATATTTTGTTTCATGTGTTTATAATGAAACACCTATCCTTTTATCCTTTCCAGCTGGCCTGAAATACCACCACCCACCCCTGCCCCTGTGCCTCCCAAAACAATGCCATTCTTTTCTTGGCCAACTCACAGGACAGTCCTGGCCAGGCTTCCCCTGATCAGAAAGAGGAAATATACCACCCTTGCCCTAAGCAGTCCATAGGTCACAGGAATGCCAAGGGAATCTCTATGGAGCCAAGGGAGCACTTCAGATCTTATGGAAAATTTGGAAGGAGATGGCCTCGTTCCCCTGCATACTATCTCCCAAGGGAACCTCTCTTTCCTAAATGAACAATGTCTGCCTCTGGGAGAGCCAGAGCTACTTTAAATTTTAGAGGCTTCTTAGTCCACACCCGTCAGTGAAGCTCATTAAACTGAACCCACTCTCTAGTAAAAGCTTCCTCTCCAGCTCCTGTGCCACCACAGCAAGCTCCAGAGGGGACACAACAGATGTCACTGGGGCTTGTGGATGGAGAAGCAGTTCTCACCACTCCTACTACATTAGGAAACCATGAATCCAAAGGCAGCCTTCAGTTTAGTCTAAATCGATTCAACAGATCATTACCAAGCATTCATCACATGCCTATCACTGTGTTAAGCATCCAAGATACAAAGGTGAAAAAGACAAAGCTGCCCTGCTTAGGAGAAGCCAAGCTTTCAGTTAGGTAGAAAACACCACAGCCAGTGAGTGACAAAGCTGTCACCTTCTGGAAAGTAACTCTATGAGCAAAACCATCCTACCATGACCAAGAGTCTTCACCATGCATCCCTAAAATCTCATACTTCTCGGGCATATATTCTTCTCTAAAGTATTTACACTCATCAGATTCTTCATCCTCTGTAAATCCAAGCACAACATCTTTTGGCTGAGAAAAGAGTTCCACCTAAGCCCAGTGGCTTTGTCCAAAGCCAATAATCCCTCAGGATTCACAAGCAAGTCCCGACATTGCCAGTCTGAGCTCACAGCTTGGCACTGTTTGCACAGGCACACCTCCCACGGGGGCAGGGAGAAGAGGCCCCAGTGAGCACTCCTACCAGGTCATCACACACCTGCTAGAGGGTATCCTACCCTCTCCACCCTTTCCACTCCCTCCCTCTTTGCCTTTAGGCTGCCTGCCCTCTACGGAATGACCAGTTTCTGTACTCAGCACATACTAGATATATTTGTATACAGCAATTAACAAAGAATCCAAACAGGTAATGCAATTTGACTTGTAATTGTAAGGTTTAAAAATCTTAAATATAGGGTACCATGAAAAAAGAAAAGGAAAATTAGAAGCATGGCTCAAACAAATTAGATAACCTTTCATTTGGGTTAAGCAGAGGAATTTAAGATTGGCCAAAAATACCAAGGGGACAGTAGATGGGGAAGGAATTTGATAAGTAACCTTGGAATTTTAACAGAAAATTTCCATTGATAACCTGGTTACAAAATCAGCAACAAAGCGCTCAATACCTTAGAGCATTTTCAAGCCAATTTCAAGCTTGGAATTTAGTTTAGAAAACCACTGTACCTCCAGTTAAGAAAACATCAAGTTCTGTTTCTCACCTTTTTAAACTTTCTGCTTTGGTGTTATAAACTCTTCTATCGACTGTAATACAATACCTCAGGATAGCCACATTTTCAAACATTGTACATAAACTATGTAAATATACAAATATTGTATAAAACTTGCTGAATAAACATAATGCAGTGTTTATATACTACATAGCAATAGGATAGAGCTGAAAGGAGGAAAAAGACATCAATTTTCTAGTTAAAAGATAAACATGTTCTTTGGAAATGTCAAGGCCAAAGTGTCTTTCCCTTGTAGTATTTAATTGCTGTTATAGTTTTAAGAAACTTTTTTTTAAGGAAAAGAGTTTTAAGAGTAAAATGCCCAGCCGGCATGGCTCAGTGGTTGAGCATCAACCTATGATCCAGGAGATCATGGTTCGATTCCAGGTCAGGGCACATGCCTGGGTTGCGGGCTCGATCCCCAGTAGGGGACGCGCAGGAGGCAGCTGACAGATGTTGATATTTCTCATTGATGTTTCTATCTCTCTACCTCTCCCTTCCTCTCCCTGAAATCAATAAAAACATATTTAAAAAAAAAAAGTGAAACAAAATTTAAAAGCTCAAGTTTTCTAGTAATTTTGCATAGATTATCAAAGACCTTTGTTTTTATTATATACTAAAATAAAATGCTATATTTGTCATACCATCTTCATACTACTTGTCAAGTTTTAAAAATAAAATTTTTCGAAATGTTTTTTTTTGTTTTATTCCGAAAATAGTAAACTTCCCTAGTTCAAGAGAGATTTAGAATATGTACTACTGAAGTAAACAGGAACAGAATGTAAAAGTATTTTTCATGAGACGCAGATTCAAATGTCAAATGGAAACTCATATCTTTCTAATCAGGTCTAAATTTTACCAAGACTAGTTTTAGAACTGCTATAGTAGCAGTTCTTTCAAAATTATTTCATGGCAAAAGACATAAACTCACACAACAAATTGGGGGTAGTAGTATTTTTTTGATGACTATCTATTACAGGGATAGTAAATAGGTTTTATATCCCATGTCAACTCCAGTTATGACGATGCCCTGGAACATTTTAGAGGAAGGATTTGCTGAGACCCTGGGTTCAGTCAGAAACAGTGCAGCAATCAGTGTAGGCTGCCATTGCAGGTGGCGGTAAGGGGGGCTACCAGTCAGGCCTCTATCTACACCTTTATACACACCATCCCAATCCCTGTGACCACTCTACCAGGCAGAAATTAGTATCTCGAGTTTATAGGCAAGGAAACAGGATCAAAAATGTAAAGCAACACAGCCGAGCCTATTATATGGTAAATATGCATCCAAGCAAGATCCCAAGCAAGTCTTTCTAGGCCTTGTCATCAAGCTTCACACTAAAAAGGACCTTTTTAGAATCTATATGGTTTACCTTCTTCACTTTGCAAGTGAGAAGACTTAGGCCAGCCGTGTTGAGTGACTTGCCCAAGGACACACACTGGTTGGAATGCAAAGCCAAGGCTGGAGCTAGGGCTCCAGCACGAAGGCTCAGCCTCCTCTGGAGGAGACAGCACTACTGCCTTCCACACCCTGGAAGCTGCCCTCCCCACACTCTTCAGAAGCTAGGCTTGTCCTTCTAGAGGATGTCAGAGAACTGTTGCTGGACTCTGTTTCCACCCACTCCTGCTTCTCTTTGCTCCCGACTCCCTGGGCAGCCTTGGTTTCGGAGCTGGAGAGGCTACAAAGAGCCCACAGCAGCTGCTGCTTGGCATCCGCACAGGTGCACACACAACCACCCTTCCCGACACAGCCTCCGCACAGGTGGGGCATGAGCAGGTGCCCGCAAAACGGTTCAAGGGGGAATCACGGAAGAAAAACAAGAGAGTATGAGGAGAAAGGCTTCTCCACTTTGCTGCTTATTTCTTTTCTTTTAATATAACATATTAGGTTAATATAATGTAAAAGGTTTTTCAGTAGGCTACACTGACATAATGCTTGGTGTCAAGGTCTCCTATGCAAATTATAAGCAGGTGTTAATGACTCTTATGCAAATGAGCAAATCTGGTCTCCTGTTAGCTTTCTTTTTCCCCAAATCCTTTGTTATGTATTTCAAGGTTACTCTCATTGTCCCATTCTCAGTGTCCCAGGCTCACAGTGCAGATAGTGCTGACTAGAGCTGCTCAGAAGGCACTTTGGGAGGTTTCCAATTCACTGTTGGTCTTGGTAAGTGGCCAAATTTAAAAGTAAAACAGATCTTTCTGGGGAACATTTTTAAAAAAGTAAATGACTGTTAGCTGCCATACACTTCTACCATAAAAAAGAATTATATCTTCCTCTTAGTAACAGCCCACCTGAAGTTCTACTTATTTCACTTTAAAACAACTCTTTCTATCCTCGCATAATAGAAGACATCTGACAATTCATTTTTAAGATTGTTTTTAATCTACTGAAGAGACAAAATTATCCAAGCAAATAATCAATAATGGGCATTAAAACAGCTCATCTTAATTAACATTAGGTAGCATTACTTTCCTACAGAGACAAAAAGCAGCTCTCAGTTGCCCTGGTGATAACTCTCAGAGTGCTGGGAGGAATAAATGTAGCCCTATCTACAGATGCCTGAGGTAAGCTAGGCATGGCCCTCAACCCATGGCTAGTTCCTTTTGCTCAAATACAAAAAAAGAGAGATGAATACAATGAACTAGAAGCAATATAATTTTAAGGGGGCTGGTTTCAGATGATTCAAAAACTAGGATCTTAAAAAAATGCACAACAAAAATATTTTATTTAATATTAAAGATCACACCGTCCCTTGCTGGTCCCTAAAAGTTAATGAAACATATGGAAAAGTGAAAAAAAAACTTAAAAAAAATAAATTTTTCTTATTTTAATAAAATCCTTCATTTCCCCAGAAGATTTTGTTGACGTTCAGGCAGTGTTAATCTATATCTTGCAATAGAAAAAAAGTCATTCCCACACCCGAAATATCCAAAGCTGAAATAAAAAGTTAGATAAGAAGACAGGAAATAAAAATGAATAACTTTGTAAAAACAGAAGCATACCTTGTATTTCAAAGACAACATCAGCGAGCATTGGTTTATTAAGGAAAAACTTGAGGGAAGTGCTATAAAACCACAGAGGTTTCCTGGCTTGATAGGTTTTGCAATTCCTTAGGCAATTAATCTATAAGGAAAAGTGAAAACACAAGGGTAAAGGTTATACAAAAAGCTTTGATAATATGCATGGGCTGATTAGAGAATTTGGAAAACTGTGTTGAATGTTTATTATTTATTTTTTTAATATATCTTTATTGATTTCAGAGAGAGGAAGGGAGAGGGAGAGAGATAGAAACATCAATGATGAGAGAGTCATTGATTGGCTGCCTACTGCATGCCACCGACTGGGGACCGAGACCACAACCCGGGCCTGTGCCCTGACCGGGAATCGAACCCTGATCGCCTGGATCCTAGGTTGACGCTCAACTGCTGAGTTACGCCTGGCCGGGCATGTGTTGAATGTTTAAATGATCAGCTATGGCCTCTCTAATCATAGCCTGGATGGGAACTTACCCTCAAGAACTACATCTGTTATCTGCCAGTGAGCAACACTGCACTATGCAGCATTTGTAGCAGTGAATGAACTGGCTAAGTAAAAACTCAGCTCCATGGCTAAGAAGCTGTGGGGTCCTGAGTCCCTGGGGGTCTCTGTTACCTGGGAAACAGACAGCAGCAGTCCTACCTCATATGAATGCCTAGAAAAATATGTTTACACATACAACCTGCTCATCTGTTCACTCATTAATAAAGTACATACACAAAATTCAATTTGTAATTAAGAAAAAAACAACAACAATTTCCCCCCCATCATACCATGTCCTACTGCTTACTAGATCACTACTAAAATACCCAAGATGGATGAATTGGTTCACCTCCACCTTCACCTACAATTTTATAATTCTAAATATCACTCCTACCCACAGCAGGGACTGATGGGATCTATAACAGGTTGCCTAGCTCTCTGATCTGGAGCTCCAGAGAACCTCTCCCATGACCACGCCTGTCCTCTAGAATCCGCTCACTCCAGCTGGTGGCCTCCAGTAACAATGCCTCTGTCTGGCCTGGTGGTCTCCAGCCTTCCTTGGCTCCCAACTTGGGATTTAGTGCTCTGTTTATCATTTCTGTCATCTTTCTGACATCCCAGGAGTCAAGGGCTGGCTCTTCTGCCCTCACCCTCCACCCATTTCCCCTGATGAATCTCACAACCTCAGCCTGGGGTGAACTCTGACCTCTGCATGCCTAGCTGGAGAATACAGAAAGATTTACCCCTAAAAAAATAATCAAGCATACAATTTTAGCATTAAGAACAAATATCACCTACTTCCCGCTCTGGATTAATCTACAGCGGGAAGTTAAAATATTTGGTGAGGGGGGAAAAATATTATCCCTCCTCACAAGGAAGAATGGTATCAGTGAGCAAGACAGACAAGCACAACAGGACCATACAAATTCTGGTCCTACAGAGAACACTCTGGTTCTATACACAATACACTTTAAAACACACTGAAGGAATTGGGAGAGAGGATTCAGGTGAGTGCCACACATAAGAAAGCAAGAGTCACAAGCATCATGGAATTTGAGAGGAGCAGGAACCTTAGAAATCATCCCGTTTATCCCTCCTTTTATAGAAAGCCCTGAGAAGACTTGTACAAAGCCACAGAGCTAATTTGTGGTAGCACAATTTAAATGTACATTTCCTGATTCCCAATTCTGTGTTACATCCCTGTGTCATACTCAACGAATGAGAGAGACTCTTACTCCTGGAAAGTGCAAGAAGAAAGCACAGAACTCTTCTTTCCATCCATGGGAAGGAGGGTATTTAGTTCAGTATTTTATTCTTAATACTCAAAAGAATGTCTGTGTTCAGAATCAAACCCGAGGTGGCTCAGTTGGTTGGAGCACTGTACAGTACACCAAAAGGGCGAGGGTTCGATTCCCTGGTCAGGGCACATACCTAGGTTGTGAGTTTGATCCCTGGTCGGGGTGCATACGGGAGGCAACCGATCGATGTTTCTCCCTCTCTCCTCTCTCTCCCCCCTTCCTCTCTCTAAAAACCAATAAAAACATATCCTTAGGTGAGGATTTAAAAAATGTTAATAACTTAGATTGCAGAATTAACAAAGTCATCTGTTTAAAAAATTAAAGAAAGCCCGGCCGGGCGTGGCTCAGCAGTTGAGCGTCAATCTAGGATCCAGGTGGTCGGGGTTCAATTCCCGGTCAGGGCACATGCCCGGGTTGTGGGCTCGATCCCCAGTCGGGGCGTGCAGGAGGCAGCCGATCAATGACTCTCTCATTATTGATGTTTCTATCTCTCTCTCTCCCTCTCTCTTCCTCTCTCTGAAATCAATAAAGATATATTAAAAAAAAAGTTTTAAAAAATTAAAGACATAATTTTTCTCACATTTAATATAAACTTATATTCTGCTAGACAGTGCACATAACTTACCTTTTATCTACTGCAGCCAATTTGTTTATCACAGAATCTGGAATAAGAACACTGGCTAAATTGTGTAATGTAGTTGTTTTAAAATGTAACAAATTTACTTTTAAAGCCCTTGCAGAGTCTGTACAATCTAGATGACCAGAGATTTCACATGGGCAGCATGTGACCATACAGAAAATCTGTATTTTTATAACCTTTGAACCTAACTTATACTTTTGAACCTGTATTAGATGGAAAACAAACCTTTAACTGTTCACTTGCTCATAAAGATTTCTCAGAACTCTTGAAAAAGGCACACACAGAGACCGCCTTGTTCCTGAACATTCCGGAGCTTTGAGGGAATGTTTCAGAGGATGGAATCCACAAGTCAACATTTCAAAGGTATGACATAAACATATTTTAATTCTTACATGAATGAAAATATGAGATAGTGAGAAATAATGTGTTTACTTTTAAAATATTTAAATGGCAAAAATATACTTAAGGAAAACATTGGTATATTATTAAATCTTTTCATGACTCAATATTATATTCATTAAAGTTTATCACTTATAATTCAGAAGAAGTCAAAATAAACTAACTTACAATAAACTAACTTACCTTTCCTGGTGTTTTTAAAATGCATTTAACTTTCTCAATTACACCTGAGACATCCCCAGAATCTTTCAACTTCTTCCTGATATCTTCTTCCAATTCATCCCACTGGAAAGCACCTGTAAATAAATGAATATATATTGACTTTTCCTGTTAAAGCAGGAGGAAAAATAAATCTTACTAGATATCAATGTTTCCTCTCTTTTAGTATTCTAATTTTTCTTTACCAAATATATATCCTTGTAATTACACTTAAAAGTTTAAACAACTATCACATTAAAAAAAAATCAGTTTGCCTTCCCCTAAATTATTCAAAACCTAGTTTTCCTCCTTGGACAGCTGCCACTTCTCTGTACTAGGTAGTCAGCTAGTGATAACAGCAATGGCTATAATATGAGTTACTATCACAAGTGGTCCAACATCCAAGTTATTTACTTCCCCTGGTTAAGAAGGCAGATGTGGTCATTTCTCAGGTTGAATTAATTTGTACTAATCATGGAGAGCAGTGACTGTTATCAGGCAGAGGAATGGGCAGTAGGAACAGAATGCACTAGGAAGGCCTCATGCACTGTCAGGGTCACATTAGGATATGTTTCACAGCTACCTCTACAGACTAACCAGAAGAGGAGCTAGTAATTTTATGATGAGCTACACAACCATGGCACTGGAGCAAAGTCACTCCACCTGGTCCCTCCCTCCCGTCTTCACCCCAACCCACTTCCAAGCTCTCTCTTCCTGGGCTCACTTCACTTCTGCCCCACATTCTGTCAACACCTTCCCCTTGCTGTCTTAAGAACTTCCTCCTATTGCATGGGCAGCAGTCCACCTTTTCCCCATGCACTCCTCTTACCTGGTCTAAAGCATCCTCCCTGCTCCCTAGCGGCGTTTTCCCCATCCGATCCAACCCATTACTCAATGCTGATGTTTCCAAAAGTACGATTCTGATCATGATATTCTGAGAGATTACCCTCATCCACTTCATGGTTTATAGAAAGTCCTAACCCCTAAAAATATAATACAGAAAGATGTGGTGTGGGTGGGTATAGTTGGGGAACCCAGTTTTTAGTTCTATCTCTGCCATTAATTACTGGGGTGACTTTAAGCAAGTCACTTCACCTCTCTGGGTAACTTGGGGTCCTTTTCTATCTGCTCTCAATCTATCTCTTCTGACGTTCCCCTTTATATACCCAGAAATTTGCCAGATGTCTTCATGGATATTGGGGAGTGGAGAGGGCACATAATAAACACTTATTGAACCAATGAGATCAGGCAATTGCAGCCAGCCTGTACCAATGAGATCCAAAGCTGATCTGAAAAGTCAGATTGATAGTCTAGCAGCTCTCAGGCCTCCAGACGGTGGGGCCCTGCAGGACTTGGCACTCCTGAATATCTTTACACTTCTCTTTCCCTGACCTTTATAAAGACTGCATTGTGTCCTGGGGGGGATGGGGAAGGGGAAGGAGAGCCCTGATTTGAAGCATGTACTATTTCTGTGGTGCAAATACTCCTGCCAGGGCCATATCCAAGCTACCAATATGACATTGCAGAACACAGAATTGGGAATAAACATAATCAGTTCTTACAAGCTGGTGCCAGCTGGCTCCAGCACACCATGCTTCTTCCTACCTTAGATCACTCTTTCTCTGACTTCACTGTTAGCTCCCCTTCTGCCTCAAATTCCCAAAGGTGTGCAGTCCAGAACAAGTCTATAGTTTTTATTTTCCTCTTCCTGCACTAATGATTTTTAACTTCAAGGTCACATACTCTTTTCATACTCTGATAAATTCTTTGCATTGAATCCAGGAAATTTCACATGCAAAAATAGACATTAAAGTGTAAATAAAAATGTCAGCAGTAGAGGAAGCCTTTAGAAGCCAAAGTATGCTAGTTCAAGAAAATTTACTCTCTACCAGTGATTCTTAACTCTTGCTATGTCTTACATTAACCTAAAGATTGTTTATAAAATACCAGTGGAGAAAGTCTCATTTCAGACCAAGTGAATTAAAATTTCTGATGCTGGGGACCAGACATGGATTTTAAATGCCCCCCACATTAATCTAAGGTGTACTGACTACTGATGACCACTTCTCTTCCCTTAGACATTTCATCCATTACCCAAACCCAGGGTCAGTGCTGTGCAGCAAACAGTAGGTGCAGGTATTTTTCATTGTCTACACTCATGCATGTTAAAGAAGAGCACAGACATTGTCTCTTTAAAGTAAAATTATATTAACTAAAGAACACCTATACAATATCTCCATTCAGAAGATTATGTGAAAGACTGAAAGCATCAAATCTAAATAGATGGGATTAGTAGCAGGTAAATCTCTACAGACCATTGATCTGTTTAAGACAGACACAGACAGATCCAATAACTAAAACTGAAAGTAAGACTAGTTCATAAGGGTACTCCAATGATTGGGCTGTTTTCATAATTAGAAATGCTAACTAATCATCTTTGACACTTTTAGGTCCTAATAAAGCAATAATCCTTAGACTGGGATTTTTTTTTCCTTTCTTTTACTGTGGTAAAATTATTTAGCAGACACTCTATCCTCTTACCAGAATTTTAAGTGTCAATACAATATTGTTAACAATAGGCATCACGCTGTATGTATGCAGATCTCTAGAACTGACTTGTCTTGCGTAACTGGCTGGAATTTTCTTTCTTAACTTCTCAGAGCACTTATTTAATTTACTTAGACTCTTAGAGAGTGTGGTATACTTGCGTGTCCTAAACTGCATTTTTATGCAGTGCAAAAAAAGGGCACGCCACAGGATAATTCCAAGAGCTGAAGAACACTGTGCAAACTGAAGGCGAATACATACTCCACATAGTCATTTACCCTGGGGGCATTTCAGTAAGTGATGTGAAATTCTAAGGGCCATCTGCGGCAGGCAGAGCTCAAAGCTAAATTCTTAAGCTCTTACAAACATTTCATTTCCAAACCATATGAGAGTGTGTGACTCAGGAATCTGGAAGCCTGAAGACTGTATGGAGGGGTTTAAGAATGTTACAGCTGTATGCCATTTAAGGCTTACTCCATGAAGACCAGGAAACCGCTGCCCTCACTTTTCAGATGACTCCTTCTTTAGCATTAGTCCTTAAGTGCTTATACATCATGCTGTGTTAGTGAGTATCCAATGGAAAATTAACATATACAAAACAGACACGCTTTTACAGGGTCTGCTCAGAAGTTCGAAGAGAAAAATAAACTGAAATCTTATAGGTGTAATGTGTTAGCCAGACCATTAAACAGGCCCTTCCTAAATATAGGGCCCAAATGTCTTATATACAACATAAAGACCCAATTGTCCTATATAAATTCCTAAAGATTAAAAAAAGTATGTTATTAAAAAAATTAAGACATTCTTTGTAATTTGGTTCATTAAAGACAAAGGCAGGAGCTAGAGTTTATACGGTTTTCAGCCACGTTTGCTCAGGGCAAATATTCCTGACGTGCCACATCATGGAGTCTGCCTCTGTTTTGCCAACCCAGCCTACAGGAGTACAAACAGCTCCAGCGCTTGACAGGCCCCTAACCTAGCCTGTGGGTAGGCTTCTGAGAGGAAATGGTTACTTAACTGAATTTTAAAACCTGTGCTCAGTTCAAAAGTTTTTAAATGTTTAACAGCAACAAGAAAAAAAAAACACCCCACAAACCGGGCCTCCCTACTCAAGTCTCTGAAAAAGAAATGTACGTTTAAAATTTTTGTTTGATTTGATAAAAAATTATTTAAAAAAACAAAACAAAACTAAACTGTAACCAAGTCACAAACAAAGACTACAGGATAAAACAAAACATCAGTAAATGTTTAGGCATTTGAGAGCAGGAATCTGGCTGATTTTTTCCTCAATAAACTTTCTGTATTTTTAAAAAATTGTCTTTACTGTGGATATACAGCTTTAATATCTTTTTAAACATAACTCAGATAAATACAACTTCTGCTTGAGTCCGAGGTTATACTCCGTAAATAAGTAAAGAATATTACATAGGTAACTATTGAAGCATTTATTTTTCCCTTTTCCTCAGCCAGCATCAGGGTCTCCCTGTGGCCCCAGGTCCATGGCCTGAGGCCTTGGTCATACCTGACACCACTTCTTGCTGGGCCCTGTGACATACAGGAGAGATTAGAGCAGAAATGCAATAGCTCAGTGTCAGATTAAGAAGCTGGAGCTCTGAAGGGCTCAAGGGCTTGTAGATCAGAAAGCTCTCCTCACGATCATGGCCCACAGCCCTCTAATCGTCATTCCTAGGCTCACTTAATTTCCACACAAACCCTGAGCATCCACTTTTCCTAACTTTAGGAAGGGACTACAACAGGACACTGTCGGCCCCGGCTCCAAACAGCTCTGCTTTAGTCAGCCTGGCAGCTGACCCCATTTTGATTTTGTACCCTAAAACAGAGAAATGAGTTCCTCTCCTGGGTCTCTGGGGTGAATTCTAGGCCCTGATCCCCTGGTTGTGGCTGGTACCCAGCTCTTCCAAGAGCAGGTTTTGCAACTGCCATGGTCCAGAGCATCAGCATCACTTGGGAGACTGTTGGAAATGCAGAATCTTGTGCCCCACCCTGGGCTTACTGAATCACAACCTGCACATTAACAAGATCACCAAGTGACCTGTTTGCACTTTAAGAGTTAAAAAGCACTGCTCCAGATGATGGACAAACCACACCACCAACCACCTGTTGTCAGAATGTTGGCCTTCCAGAGGTTGACCACCAGAGTGAGAGGGCCTCCTGATTGGACTCCTGTCTTGTCTACTCTATTCATTCCTCCCACCATCACCAGAGATGACTTTTCTAATGCCCAGTCTGATCATGATTAAAATTCTAGAACAGTTTCTAAGAATGACAAGAACAGATCCCACTGGCCTTGGCCAGTCTCATCTCCTTCCAGCCATCACCTCCCACTCTTTGCTCCAGTCATTGGGGAGCTACCTGTAGTTCCTGGAAAACAGCAGTTACCAAGACTTACATTTTCATTAATGCAAATTTCCCACTATTTAATTTCTTTGGAATAGCACTAGAGTGAACATATGAAAAACCAGTAATAGGTAACTGACTCTATGGGAGGGAACTGGGGGGTGAAGAGAACTTTTCTTTTTCTTTTCTTTCCCCCCTTTTCCCCATCTGTATATATTAATTTTGCAATTAAAAAAAAAAAAATCACTCCCTAGGAGAAAGAGAACAGATTCTGTCACTGGAGAGACATCTAGCAATTTTACTGCTACAATATTAAAGAGGATACAACTGACCTCAAAGTGTTCATGTGCCTTTGAAAGTATTCAGTGCATATTGTGGGAAACTTGCTGAATAATTCATAATTGCAACAGTAAAATCATTGAAAGGGACTGCCAAACACTTCCTTCATAGTTTTCTAAACATATCATTAAAGTATTTTTTTTTTCTTTTAATGTAAACATTTTGTTTTTTCAAAATTAGTCTTAAATTCTGAGCTGTGAGATGCTAGGTTTAAACACAAAAATCTGTATTACTAAATGAAGCCTTTATTCTGGTTTATTCATATAATGATTCCCCACTACTGGATTCTACTCGGTAATTTAACCCACACTGACAGAGAACCTGCCAGGTTGATAGCACCTGCTGGTGTTCCCTGGGAGTGATTATTTACGCCTTTTCCAAGCCAATGTTCACTGAACAATGGATTTAACACCTACCACCACGTTCTACTCCAATATATGTATATACTTTAACCCACTTAAATCTGCATGCTGTAACTGTATTTTCACCATTAATTTTAATTTATAAAATTATATAACCACAACCTCAATGAAAAAACTAAAATCTTATTTTTTGCATCAATCATTTCAACTGAAGGCTACTCAAAACTTTCTTATCTATAGGAAATGATACTTCTATATTTGAAAACCTTTATAAACTTATCTATCCCTAATTCTGAGGTCTAAAAACAAACTATAAATGTTTCTCCAGACACATTTGGGAGGAGGAGTGACCTTAACTTAATATTTCATCAGCACATGGTTCCAAGTGGAAAAAGAAAATTAAAGAAGAAAAAAGTTCTCAAAAAATATATATTTAGATGCTTACTTTAAAACTCATTTTACATTCATTCTTTTCCACTCCTATATGGGACACTTAGATGTGAGACCTTCTATTCATCTGCTAAAATGACTCAGATAAAACTTCTATTCTTTAAAATACAGTTGCTACTGAGTTTTTAAAAGAATAATGAGAAAAATGATGAATAAGCTGAATCCCAAAAAGGTGAGAGCACATAAGGAAAAAAAGATAAGTCTAAAATAGTCAAAACCAAAGTTGATCAGATCTCAGTCTAAACTACCTTTTAGTGCTGTAGCTGGTTCCTAAACTGAATGCAATGCCCCAGCTAATTTCTCTCCTCAATACCTTCCTAAATCCAAGTATCAAACAGAAATGTGAATATGTAGCTAGGTTTTAAGATACAGACATTTATTTTGATATACACCTAGAAAATTTTATTTCTTTAAAGTTAAATTGGACAATAAATTCTTGTATTTTCACTCTTGGAGTATTTCTTGCTTAGTACGAAAAGAGATTACTGCTTTTACAAGAAGACTTAAAACCAGGGCAAGTAAACTTAATAAGGAAGATGGAAAGCTTGGAATAATTCCTGTGCATAAAGCAAATGCTATTTCATGTTTAATCTTCACTCCAGATGATAGGAAGAAGATAAATGTAAAACTAACCAATACTCCCGAGGACCACGGGCATACTTCATTTCAAAAGCTTAAGAGAATGTACCAGAACTATTGGACAAGATACCTGAATAAATGAAGCGCAGAATATCTGATAAACAGGAACAGAAGAGGACATCTTTAACAATGACTCGCAGTGGTGGGTTGCCTGGAGAATCCTGGCCAGCACCTGGAAACACAGTCTCTCTGTTTATAGCAAAGAGATCCTGGGTCGTTCGGATGATACTGGAATCCTGAATGTCAGCAGGACTCTTCACGTTGAAAAGCAGCATGAACACGTGGCTCACCGCACAGAGAACGATCTTGTGGGCCTCCACTGCCTCCTTTAGGTCTGGGCTGTAAAACACCACGTCCACACACTGGCAGCAGAACAGCAGGTTATGCAAGTCCGAGTTATAATGCGATGCTTCGGCCTTTAAGACGGGCATCTTTTCTGTTTCAAGAAAGAAAATAAAACTAGTAAATTACTTTTTAGGTCTACAGACCCAATCACTTTAGGTTTACAACAAAGCTGTATTTTTTAATATTATTAGGTTGAATCATATAAAATTACCAATATTTGGCCATTTCTGACCTACAATAACAGCAATTTTATAAAGTTTAGCCTAATTAAAACATAAAAACTAATTAGTCAAGGACTGTAAAATTTCATAAGACATACAGAAATGTTGTATTTACTTTTTATAGTGCAAATAAAAAAACTACTAATGCCATAAGGGTCAATAAAATAACATTTCTCACTATTTGTGTGTCCCAAAATAAAACATTCCTCCTAATACTGAATTTAGTGTGTTGGTAGTCATCATTCTTTACTGTCACCTGATAAAAATTCAAACAAATGATTAAGTAAGTCCTGAAGAACCAACCCCAACCTCACATCATAGGTCCTTTTCCTCCTGGGAATGGAAGTGGGAAGATAAATTGTCAAAACTGCAACTCAAAACCAGGGCTCAGTGTCTTGGACATTATTGTTTAAAACTACCTTGACCATTTTGTGTTGATCCTAAAATTAGTACATTGTTCCTCCTAGTTAAACAATATGCTTCCCCAAAATCAACTCTTCCCCCTCAGCATATCTGAGGCAGTGTTAGCTAGGATCCCTAATTTCCAAAAGAGAACTCGGCCGTCCAATTCCTAGTTTGATTACTAACAAAAATGGATTAGCCTGCAATCCATTCATAATATCCACACAGAGAACCACATCCTAGGAGCTCATCATTGGCCCTAATTGTAAAACTCTGCTGTCTAACCTTTATCCAAAGCTGAGCTGAAGAAAGTGTGATCTGTGGAGGGTTGCCTGGGGATTTGCAACCACCTGAATCAGTGAAATTCAAACTCCTTTGGCAATGAAAATGTTTTATTCTAAAGCAAAACACCAGTCTATAAAATGAACAAGGTAATCTGGGGGCCAGGCTCTTTCTGCGCTGAACCCCAGCCTTCATCTTCTCCACTGCTTGAGGCACCTTCACAGGCTCTTAAAAGCAAAGAACAGTCTGAAGCCACGTGCCCCAGAATCCAGGATCTGTCCTTCGAACAAGTCAGAACCACAACAAATGCGCCCACAGGCCTGTATTGTCCTTGGATCCCTGGTTTATGCTCAGTGTGATAGCCACAGTTCTCCTAACAGAAGGTGCAAAAAACAGCCTTGTGAAAGTTGAGACTGGATTTCCTGATAGGACATTTTTGAAGGCCCTGTCCACTATGTCACCTAGTATCCCCAAGTGAAGACCCACAAGGGAAACTTCTTTTAGTGGTAAATGACATGAAATGCTCTGCTTTCTTTGAGGAACTGGTGTGTTTTCTCTTCTTGGTTAAAAAGAACTAAGAAATTATCTATCTGCATTATTTATTTGGCTAGTCCCCACTCATCTTATCATCCAGAAAGTATTTAAGGCCCCAGCATTTGCTACAGAATAGACCATGTCTCTCCTTTCCCTGTACACTAGGAAGTTCAAAGCCAAGTGTGTATCATTTATGGCAGCGATTTTCAACCACAGTGCCACCAGAACTTTTAAAACATGCAACACCTGACTATTTAGTCAAGGGCACTGACCCCTTTTCCCTTAGATTGTCAAGTAAAAAAATGACAACAGCTAACACAACAATAGACATTTGGTGTGAATGAGTCAAAATTATACCTATTTTTTGTTAGATTAGCAAAAAGTATAATATATTTTTTGGTGTGCCACAGAATTTTAGTAACTAGTTTAGGTGTGCCATGAGATGAAAAAGGTTGAAAATTGCTGATTTATGGTGTAAACATCTGCTTTTGTTTTTAAAATCTGGAATTGACTAATTTATATTTTCCTGATTTTTAATTTACATTCATTCATTCAACAAATACTTATCAAATACCTACTTTTTAAAGAAATATTCATAACAAGTTGATCTGGATAGAGTACTATTCTACTACTTCTATCACAAAATTATATAAAAAATTCTGGTAACAATTGATATAATTTTGTTAATTTTAACTTTGTTTTCTTTCAACCTTGTATTATGAACATTTTCAAACGTTCAAAAAAGTTGAAGGACTTATACAATGAGCACACATATATGCTTCCCTTAAATTCTGCAATTATTAACATTTTGTCATTATTTTTGCCTTATCTCTAGATACACACACACTCACACTCACATTCACACTGGTGGCCCATTTTAAAGTAAGTTGCAATCATCAGGACATTTTGGCTTGAAATATTTTCGCATTCATCTCCTTAAAAAGAATGACATTCTTCTATTAACCATAACAGCATTACCATACATAAGAAAATTAGTAATAATTCCATAATATCATCTAATTTCCAGTCCATATTAAAATTTTAATCAACTGTACCATGAACATCTTTTAGATTTTTTACTGAGCCAGTAGCCAATCAAGGTTCATACACTGCATTTGGTTGTTATTTCTCATTAGACTACAGTCTAGAACAGCTCTCCACAACACACACTATTTTAAGTATCTATAGGCTCAAGTCTTTGAGACAGAAGTCCTCAAAATGTGGTCCAAGTAACAAAGGCGGATCACAGGCTCCGTCCCAGACTTACTGAATCAGATGCCAGATGAGTCCTAAATGTGCTGAAAGCTGAGAACAGTTGCTCTAAGACCTAGGAAATGATCTCTGATAAACATCGACTGAACGTCTAGAGATTGGCTAATAAATGCACCTGGTTGTTCAAGCTGAGGTGGTCTGATTCCATGAAGCGAGCTGCTCATTTTCCTTTTCTTCATTTTCTCACTTGTCTTCTGATTTAAGGCTTGAATCATAAAATACTCCAACTAAAACATGAGTCAAATTTTAATTAAAGCTCTAACAAAATTATGTATCTGACATGACTATTTGTACCCAAATCCCATTTGACAAATGTCCTTAATGCTGGTACTATTAAGCTTTAGCAAACACTTTCAAACATTTTTTTCATTAAAAAAAAAAAAAGTATCAGGTAGAACAGATTGTGCCTCATTTAAACATTAATAAACTAGCCATTCAAGGAGAAACTGTTTATTCTCTTGAATAATTAAGGAAGCCTAGCAATGCAATTGTGTGAGTGTCAATAACCATCTCTCTCGTAACCATGGCAGTTCATAGTAGAGAAAGTCAAGGCGGGCAGAGATTTGCTGTATCACATATGCTCATATCAGCTAGGGAAGTTCACATGTGCTCTTATCTTTTTCCTGAGTAAATTACTTTGAAATACATCCTTTATTTTATAAATTTAAAATCTTAACCACATGTACTAACACAGCTCCAGTCCTGTGCTTTACACTATGAGGCCTGGGCCAAAAGTACAAATGCAGGACCCCATACTACACAACTAAATATTTAAATGATATAAATCAAGAAAACAAACTGTTATGTAAAAGATATCCTATCCTCCTGCTTTGACAAATACGTCATTATAAAAGCCTGGAAGGCCAGGTTCGGATTTAAATTCTCGGAGTCCTCAGAGTTTCACACAGCGCACAGAGAGCTGGGCCCTAACTCCTGGGCCCCAAGACCACCCCTACTATTCCCAGCTCCTGCTCCATCCCATGCCCCTCAGAGGCTTGTGCACACAAGCAGACATCATGGCAACACATCTAAGCTCAGTCTACTCTCTCTTCCCCCAACCCTCATACACAATCACCCCTTGGCCATGTCTAGGGGTGCACACACCAGCAACATGGTCCACCTTGAGAAGGTTGGGTCAGGAAAGAGGGACCACAGGCCTGGGAAACAGACTCAGGGCCAGCTACCCAGAGAACTCTGGGGTCCTGAGTTTTGGAGCATGATCAGTACAACTCTCTGTTCTGTATGGATGGAAATGTTTTGTAATATCTCTGCTAATCAGTACAGCAGCCAGTAGCCACATGCAGCTATTAAAATGTGTATCTGAAATGTGACTAGTGCACCTGAGGAACTGAAATTGTTTTATTAATTTAAATATAAGTAGCCGCATGTGGTAGCGGCTACCATATTAGATGCTGCAGGTCTAGACAGGGCTACCACCCTAGTGGGCACGTCCCTTTGGCTCCAGCATCTCGCGCCCTGTGGGCAGGGGGCAGCTGTTAAGAGGGCTAGATGGGGCTCTCTAAAGCTTGAAGGCATGGATCTGAAGGTAATCCTGCACAGCTCTGTATCCCTGCACACTGTTATCTCCATCCATATTCTTACAGACATCGTTACTTCTTACACCCAAGATCCCAGTTGCACTTTACTTTTCAAGAGTCTGAAAAGAGATTACCCTGATCTTATCTCCATATTCTCACTAAATCCTGAGTTCAGGGAAAAAGAAACTGCCATGTTTTTCTTCCAGCCTTGACCACATCTTCAACTCTCATCATGCCTCCAACCCTAACTGTAACAGTAGGTATTAGGAGCAAAGAGAAACAAAGAGGGGAAAGAAGAGAGAGTGAAAGTTGGGAGGTGGGAAAAGTGATTCTGAGAATTTCAGGTTCAGGAACTTGAATGGGGAACTTAAGTACCCGCTCCCCCAACCCACCACCCACCCTCACCAAGGGAACCAGCCCCTCTTCTCCAACAAATGAAATGAAACTATCTTTTTCCCCCCAACTCCCTAGGTATTTCAGGAAAATGTAAGAGTAATAAACCAAATTAAGATTTTTTTTTTAAGCCACTACAATATAATCTGTTTGACAGGAAAATTAGATTTCACCCCTCTCTTTCTACTCATTGCTTATCAATATAATTAAGTAAGATAAAAGTTTCTCAGTCAGTGATAATATCATCTCCCTTAATGGTTTATTATTAATGCTTCTTTATATTACCAAATCAAAACCATTTTTATTTGGTCCTTATATTATCTTTGGTTCTTATTTGGAGTTTAGCAACTCCAGAACAAATGAAATTTCTGTAGTTATCTGAGGAAACCTCAATGTCTCAACATAAATCTACATAATGAATATTCTGGCATATTGGAAAGGGTGCTTGACGAGGAGCTAGGCAACTGAGGGAGTCCAAAATGCTCCTGCTCAATGCAGGGTTTACCTGGTTTAAACCTCTTATCAATGTTGACTAAATTTGTCTATTCAAAGAAGTCACTTCTTAGAGAATTGGGAAGATAGTTCCCAAGTCAGTTCATACTTAAATGAAACAACTCTACAGTTTTCTCCAAGGACCCTGCAGTTCTAGTCCTGCAGGGTAGGTGCTGCGTGCTGAGATGGGCTTCAAAAATGCTTGCAGAGCCAATAAATGTTGCTGCCACAGAGCAACTAACCCTGACCCCACATATGCAGCAATAAGTTGTTCTATAAGGAGTTCCTTTGGGCAGTTCTGAGCTACACCAAGATCAGAAGTACATGGAATCTTGCAGAAACACACAAAGAGAAGAGTTACTATGCTTTTCAAGCAGTAGACCGAAAAAAAAGGAGAACTTTCCAGGCCCACCGGTTCCAGTTGCCAAGTGGGTTGAGCTATTTAAAGATGACTATTAAAGATGACATCATGGGTTTGTGTACATAAACATGCTCTAGTAAAGTGGCACCAAATGGAAAATTCCAAATATCGTACTAGACAATAGAAGATGTTTCATTTGGAGAAAAAATAAAATTATAATTTTATCCTGACAAAACCTTTTTTTCTACTTACACTCATATTATTTCTCAAGGTTAAAACTAATCATGCTTTTAAAATTAAAGTTCTAATTGAGGTTCTGGAAAATAGCTAAAGAGCCACCTGACAAATGACTTTGATTTATGTAACAGGAATTTCCACTCACCACTCCTCCGAAATATTTCCCGATGTAGAAGTCATCAAGGCTGTGTAGCTCCAAGTAGGTAGCTCCTAGCTCTTTGGCAAGCTGGATCCCTTCAGTCGTACTGACACAGCTCCCTCTGTCTGAGGTACACAGTGGGCACGTGCAAGGTAATTCTTCTGAGAAAATGAATGTGAGCAACAAAGAGCTTTGGATTTAAACAGGAAAAAAAATGTACACAGACTGTCTGAACATCAAACAACAAATTAAGAGCTCATACTAGAATCACAGCTCAAGGGCATTTCGTACATCCATGATGCATTAAGACTCTGAATAAAAAGTGTCGATGATCATAGAAAAGTCCCTAAAATAAACAAGCTTTAACTGCAAGAAGAATAAGCAGTATTTTAGAATAGAAGAATTTAAAAATAGGTAAATGGGTATTACCGAAGCTATTACAGTAATGGTACCACGAGCCAGTACGCAATGGCTGGCCTGCTTCCTTTCACGCAACTTTGGCATCCTGCGTATCAATACAAATTTAACTTGGTTGCCCATAGAAACCATGGAAAACAGTGGGTTGTCTCTCTCTTTTCTTTGTAATACATTTTAAATATACTCACCAAGTTTGGATAGACCTTATAGTTTTATTTTAATAGAATTCTCAATTTGACCTGAATCTTCAAGGCTAAAAAACTGTCCCTCTTTGTAGATTTCATATAAAGTACATTCTTATTAATCCAAATATTTCAATTATTAGACTTTAAAGCATTCAACTGCACAGGCCAAATTCAATCACTCTATCTTTTTCTTCAAGATTGAAAAATAAAAAACTGAAGGAATAAAAAGTATTTACTCAAAATGTGTACTGTCCCAAGGTTCGTAGTTGTGCCATGTATAGACCGATGACTGGGAAGGTGCCAGGTCAACCTGTCTATAAGTAAACTCCTTAGTAAGGCTAAAAATGTATATTCAACCCTGTTTTTTGTCAGCTGGTTTCATTTTGTTTCATGCCAAAGCATCAGATATGTCACGTTCACAGGCAGGTAAATCTATTTCTAGAAATGCATGCTGCTGTAGGTTGGCTTCCCTGGGAAGCAGACTCTGAGTTGGAAACTGATGTGCAGGAGGTTTACTGGAGGTGATCTTGGCAACAACTCTTCTCAGGAGTGAAGGAAGTGAGACTGGGCAGAGGAAAAATTCGAACTGCACTACAGCTGCAACAGAGACCTCAGCTGATCCTACAGGGCTCTGGAGCTTGGATGGCCCTTAGACTGGCCCCCCATTTGGGGACAGGCAGCTGGACCCTGTATGCCTAAACCCTCCAGTAATCAGAGGAGGATGGCTGCGCGGGGGCATCACCTTGGGCAAGCAGCTTCTGTGAGCACAGGACGAAGGGACTCAGCTACGGGGCATCAGTAGCCAAGTCCAGGAACAGAGGGAGTAAGAATGGTGGCCTGGAAAGGGCATTCGGGACGCTCCCCACAGCATACACAGCCGCTTTTCTACCAACGAGCTGCACACTGGTGGAGCACAGATGTGCACATGCAGGGTGTATGCCAAGGATATTTACTGCACATGCATACTATGTATGTAATTACACGTGTGCGCACACACAACTTAGATACTTCTAGCTTGATTTAAAGCATTTTAGAGCTCAGAAACCATGTACATACTCAAGTCCTCATTTTATAGAGGAGGAAACAGGCTCAGAGAGTTAAGTGACTTGTCCAAGTCTTCTTGTGTGAGAGATGGAGGGACAATAAAAACTGTTACTTGCTCCACCTGATAAATAATAAGCTAAAAATTTAGTGTGAGTAAAGAATTATAGATTCTAAACATATGGTAATTTAGCAGTTAAGCTTGGATTCTCTAAATTATGCTGTAATTTCTACTCTGAGTTTCTGCATTTACTTTTTCCAAGATCATTTTAGGTTTGCATAAGAAGTTAGCCTATTTTGAAAAACTGCACATTGGTAGTTCACATTCTTTACAAAGCGTTCATAAACAGTGCCCTTAATTTTCTAAAGACAGAAGGTTTCTTATGTCCACAAAGCTCTCCTTATGTTGATGGAATGGGGTGGGCAGGCATTAAACTTTATTTCTACACAAAAATAAAGCAAAGTCAGTAGTGTTTCCAGTGAAAATTTAAGTGAACATAATTTAAAATAATTTTTAACAAATAATCTTGATTTGAAGGAAAATACATCAAATTTCAGGATTAATCCAGCTGAGTGAGATTGCCCATGGTGAGTAGCCATAAGCATCTTAGTGACATGCCTAGAAAGTTCCTCTTTATATCTAATCCTTATATAGCCTCTATGTCACAAAAGACATTTCTTCTTGTTCACATACACACAAAAGGAAAAGTGCCTAGACATCATGTGTTGGGTAGGAGAATGAACAAAACATTTATGGATTAAATAAACCTTCATTGAGCATTTCATCAGGAACAATCAGAGGACCCAAAATAATTTTAAACTGTGGTGCCTTCTTCAGGAGCTCACTGCTGTGAGCCTACCTCAGGGTCAAAGGGACTTTGTGAATCAGAGTGCTATGCTTCTAGTTAACACTGTAGTTTTCTTTCTTATATGTTGTCTTTTTAGCTATCACTAAATGTTTATTATTTTAAAGCAAACACAGTGTAACTCTGGAATTCAAATGAATGGCATCTCTTCTAAAGCAGTGGCTTTGAGAACCTATAGGGTGATTCTCACAATGTTGTCAATACTTGAAACTTTTAGAAATCCTTGCAAGGATTCTAGCCTAGGAAAGTATTAGGCTACTATCAGAGCTTCAAAAAGACAAAAAGACAGAATGCCAATTTTCAGGAGCTGAATGCTCTGAATACACCCTAGGCATGTTTGGAAATTTTTTTTTTCTACTTTAGAGATAAATTCAATATTTAGTAGAAGCCAAAAATTTATTCAGAGCCAAGAATGATGAAGAAGATATACTCAGTCAAGCTTGTTAAAGCATGTGTATGTAACAAAGGAAAGAGATGAGACTGTGTTTGCTGAACTAATTCTAAAAAGAGATCAAGAGAGGAGTTACCAGGAGTTTCATTTATTACAAGGGATTGGCAGGGGGAGGGGACACAATGTTCTTGGGTTGAATAGACAGATTTAGCTTTGCAATTACTTTGTGATCAAATCTTATACGGTAAATTAATTTCATCTTGACAGTGAAATTTATTTTTTTCACTTACGGATTATCATAAAACATATAACCATTTGTAAAACCACTCACACATTCATAAACACATATTTATTAAGCACCTACCACATCAAATACTAGAGATATAAGGACACACAGATCAAAGAAGTTCATTGTCAACTGAGCCAAGCTAGACAAGACTGCAAAGTTACAATGTAAGTAAGTACTAAAATAAAGGTGAACAAAATCACCATGGGAGTGGAAGAAAATTAACTCTGCCTGGGGGGATTTGGGAAGGCTGCTCAGAAGAGGTACTGATTTAAAAGATAAACATGAACTTGCTGTGCAGGTATTACAGGGGTGTGCAGAGGGGCACTCCAATGAGAGGATGCAGCATACGCAGAGGCCTCGACGTGAGGGGAAAAAGAGAACACATTCACTTCCAGTTTCAAGAGACAAGCTGAGCCCACACTGTGATCTCTTCTCCCAGCTGAATCACAAAATAGTAACATAAAGAGAGGGAGGGGTAAGAGGAAGGAGCAAGAAAGGAAGAAAGAAAGGAAGGGAAGGATGGGAAGGATGGGAAGGATGGGGAGGAAGGGAGAGAGGGAGGGAGGCAGATGTGCATATAGAGCAACAGGAAAATCAGAGGAGAGATTCTCAGCAGCCCAGAAACTAGGAATGCATGAGAGGACGGAGGCCCATAGCACAGGACCAAGGGGGAAAGCTGAAGCTCAGAGCACAGGAGGGACACCAAGTTCTGCGCTGGGGCGACATCAAGAATGCTCATGGCTCAATGACTGGGGAGGGGGGAGGCAGGGGCCCAAGGGTGATCCAGTGGAGATTAGCTAGAGTATCCTAGTGAAAGCAGCTAGGCCTGCAGATCCTGTGTGTACTCCCACTCCCACGCCTGCCCCAGAGAGCAGATGGGCAGAGGGGGAGGAAGGCACCATCAATCCAACAGGGAATCTAAACTGCAGAACTAGGCAAATTAAGAATTATCAAACATTTGAGAAACATCCAAGCCATGAAACAGAATCTCATCAAATGGAAAGACTTATAAAATGCCCCCCTCGAAACCAGACTTAAAAGACCAATCAAAACAGAATCTTAAAATAAGTAGAATTGAGAGGGGTTTTTTAAAAAAGTATTTACATCCTTAAAACAGGAATAAGAACTTATGAAAAACAACCAACTAGAGATATTGGATATGAAAAGCTGTTGAAATAAAAAGAAAACTTAATAAAGCAAAATAGCAGAATGGACCCAAATGAACTAAGTTCTGAGCTGGAGAAAACACCTCCACCACCTCCAAAAAATTGGCCCATAATGTGACAGGGAGAAATAAAGGAATGGGAAATATAAAAGAAAGGTAAAAGAAATGGAGGAGAGATTCATAAGTTTCAGCATTAGTCTAGAAAAAGTCCTAAAAGGAGACAATAGAGAAAATGAAGGGAAGGTAATATCTGAAGAAGTCAGTTGAGACGTTCCCAGATCTAAAGAAAGACACTAAGTTCTTCAAGTAATTCAGTATGATGGGCATAGGACACAGAGGATACACCTACGCTGCATTTTAGGCAAGGCTTGACAATAGAAAATTATTGAAATAAGATAAAAATATTAGATTGGATTAAGGGTATCAATGGGAACCCATGACTTAAAATACTTATATATTGGATAGAGAATATATATATATATATATATATGGGCTTAGAAGCCATGACACCTAAAGTAGTGAACACCCAGAGCACAGACTTGGTTTCTAAACAGCATTACTCATTATAAGGAACCAGGGCAGGGCTCCTTGAAGAAAGGATCAGTTCCAGGGCTGGGACAGGCAAAGTCTGAGGAGAGCCTGGCACATCTTGTGCTAGAAAATAAGGAAGATGTCAAAATTAATTGGAGCTATAGCTTGAAGAGGCTCCCTCTAGGAAAATTTGGGGTAATTTGAGCATCAAAAAAATAACAAGAGGAATAGATTATAAAATATTGAATTTAAAGAATACATCTATGAATCATAATGATTCTAAAAGAAACATGTGGGAGCAGAAAGAAGAGAAAGCTCTATTTACAGAAGAATACCAACTGGTAAGTATAGAAAGAATGATTTTAAAAAATTGATTTTGAGAAAAAAAATCGCTCTTTTGCAACCAGTTACCAGACCTGAAGGAACCATGCAAAAACAATGGGCTTGGATTCTTTAAAAATGTCAATGTCATGAAAGACACTGCCTTCCCTCCCCACCCCCCAAAAAGCTGGGAAACTGTTCTGGATTTAAAGAGACTAGAGATACAGGACAACTAAATGCAATGTGTAGTCCTTTATTTCATCCTGGATTTAAAAAAGTGGCTTTGGAACAACTGGGAAAACATGAATGTGGATTATATTTTAAATAATAGCACAACAGATAATAGTTACATTTTTTTGAGTAATGATTGCATTACAGTTAGTAGGAGGATGGCTTTGTTCTTAGATTATACAGGCTTAAATAATTAGAACTGAAGAAATCCCACAATGTTTACAATTTACTTTCAAATGGTTCAGATGAGAAAAGTGTGTGTGTGTATGTGTGTGTGTGTGTGTGTGTGTGTGTGTGTGTGTGTGTGTGTAACTTCTGGAGTTCATTATTCTACTCTTATCAATTTTCTTAGGTTTAAAATTTTACAAATAGCAGTTAGGAAAAAAAAAGTTTCTAAATAATTTAAAGCACTGAGTGTCATGATCTGACTTGTATTCTAAGATGATTATTCTGTGAGGATGTATTTCAGAAAGAGGCAAAGCAGGAACAGACGACTAGCGGTCAATTTACCAACAAGCCTAAAAAGTAAAAACCTCAGGCCCTGTTCTTGTGGTTCCTTCCCAAAGCCCTGGGAGGAACCTTAGCAACAGATTCTTTCACATGGTCATATGCTTCTGTAAAATTTTCAAAATAAGTATTTTAATGTTTGGTTGAGACCACTGTCTCTTTCCATTCCAACCCACTTTGCCTTATATCAGTCAGCTCTAGAGTAACCAGGGGCATTTGGGGGATCATGCTAAGAGGAATTTAAATTTAGGTTTAGTAATATATTATTTGTAGTCTGTAGTCACTTCCTTGCACAGTTAAGTGTTCTGGTACACGAATGGCCTTCAGGAATGCTCCTGCCAACCACTGTGCTGATTCATTTAGTGTCCTGACACAGAGATGCCAAGCTGAATGACGAACACAGCACAAACTACAATGCCCAGAAGCAATGTGGACAGTGTAGAAATGTTCTGGAAGAAAAACTGATGGTCATTTCCTTCTCTCTATAGAAAATATTAAAAAGTGGTTATCACGTGAAGAGGTGATCAAAGACAGTGCAGCCCCCAAAATATAAGAAAAGTTAAAGAACTGTCAAGCTGTTAAATAACAGAAACATTTTTAAAAACATTTGTGATATTTGATAGTTTTAGATTTATAATCTGTTGTGGTTTCTTTTCTCTTTCAATATAAATACTCACTTTTGTACATACATGTATCTGTGATTTTGTAGGGTTTTTTTCCCTCACAAAGAACCTCTAAAATTGTGTAAGCTTCAGATGCTATAAAATCTGGAACTGTCTCTTTAGGAGATCAAAAAGAAGGTCACTATGACAGATAATTAAATGAGTAGGATCTGAAATCCAGTGAGGATGAAGGGGAAACAATGAGTTTGAGATTTATTTAAAATGTAAAATCCAAAGAGCTGTCAACTGGACATAGGAAATGGGAGAGAAAACTGGATTGGATGATTCCAGTTTGGGTGAATGGACAGGTTTGGTATTATTCACCAAGACAGGGAATTCAGTAGAGAGAAGATGTCCTTAGAGCTATGGTCATAAGAGAGACTGGAGCCAGAGAAACAGCTGGGTAATCATCAGTGTCTATACAAGGCAAGCTAGGGCAAGAGATGAGAAGGTTCACGGTCAGAGTAAAGAGCAAGAAGGGGTGGAGTCAAAGGATGGAACTCTGGCAACACCCAGAGGATGTGTTGGTGTATCTTTGTAAGGCAGGGAGTTGAGGGGATCAGTAAAGACAGAATTAGAACAATTATGAAAGTACAAATAATGTTATTAACAGAAGGAAGAGGTGTGTTTGATTAGTTTCAAAGAGCGAATTATTATTGAAATGTATTAAATTTGACAATAAGCATATAACCTGGCAACCCTGAGTAAGAACAAACTTAGTGTAATTGTAAAAGTCAAAATCAGACTAGCGAACTGAAGAATGGATGGGAAGTCAGTAAGTGGACTCAGGAAGTGTGGATGACACTTTCAAGAATCATGGCCAGCAACAAATAGAAAGATAGGGAAATAGAGGGGATGTGAGGTCACAGAAAGGTCAAACCTACTATTTGTATCTACTAATGTTAAACATGTACCTACCCTATGACTCAACAGCCCTACCTCTAGTAAAAACCTAAGCATCATCAAAAGGAGCATGGATAAATAAATTACAGCATATTCACACAACGTAATAATATGCAGCCATAAAAAGGACAAATTACAGGTAAGCACAACATAGATGAATCTCAAACGTACTATGTTAATAGAAATTAGTCAGACACCAAACATTACATACTGTATAATTCCATTTGTATGAAGTTCAATCTATGTTTTTAGAAATCAGAATAGCAGTTACCTCTTGGGAGGGGCATTGTTAATTGGGAAGAGGCACAAGAGAGCCTTCCTAAGTCCTGCAAATGTTCTCTATCTCAATCAGCGCGATGGTCGCATGGAAGTACACATACGTAAAAATGCAGTAAGCTGCATTCAAAGATTAGTGAACTTTATGTCCTTCACTTTGCTATACCTCAATAAAAATAAAGAAATGAGTAAAACTAAAAATTTAAAGACAGCTTTAATGAGCAAATACCACTAAGAAACATAAAATATCATCAAATCAAAGTGAATTCTGAGTTGGCCCTGAGATATCTGACCCATCATAATCACAGCAGAAGTTTTCAACAGTTTCCTTTGATATGCTCATGATCATGTCTAACGATGAAGAGGTAACAGCTGACATTTAGGGTTTTATTTTTTAAAAACTGTATTAATCATTAATAAACTTGGCTCTATTTAAAATTAATATGATGCCTGCACTCTCACTATGAGAGAGAAAATTAAATACTTACCATTTTGTCTGGTACCAACAGCAGCAATGATTACTGGAACTGAATTTAATGCTCTTTTTATCACCGGAATATAATTATCCTTCACTTCGTGGAATGAAAACTTGTCATTTACATTGTATTTGATCACAATGATGTCGGCGCCCCCAATTAGATTTCGAGAGGTGTACCAGTCACTGTCAAAAATGTCCTAAACCAAAATGCAAACAGTAATCTTTAGTCTGTCTTCAAATAAATCATAAAATAAACTGTAACATGGCAGGGTTTTTTTTGCTATATTTTAACTTCTGAAATTCATTAAAAATTTTATTTTACAAAAGTAACTATATAATTTTTAAAATGCTTGAAGTCTACCAGCTCTTTATTTATTCATTTAGCCTAGACAACTAAGTAGGGATAGACAATATAGAGCATTTCTGAGAATCTACGGAAATAAGCAACCTCTTTCGATATTTGTATTTAAAAATAAGTACTTTGTTTTAAAATTATGCCTTATTTTTATCACCTAATAATTTAAAAAATATAACGCTATACGTTAGATGCAGAAGCATCAGTATGACTAAGGAAGCTTCAAAGGACTTTCCGTGACCCAGTTAGACACTGCAGAATTAGTCAGTGTTTTGAATTGTAATGCACTGTAAATTCTGTGGAGTTCCATATATTTTAGCCATATTTTCAAAATTCATATAAACTTTTCAACTTCATGTATTCTTTGGACAGCACCACATACATATAGCGTGTATATGCATAAGTATGGTTGGGGGGGATGCCCCCACAAAAAGGTACTGTGTATCATAAGGTCCTAATATGGTAAGAAATATATTTGCAATTCATGTATTGTGTTCATATAAATTAAAAATTTAGGTCCTCGAGGGGTGGTTGGTTGGAGCGATATCCCATGCACCAAAAGGTTGCAGGTTTGATTACCAGTAGGGCCATATGTCTAGGTTGTAGGTTGATCCCCACTTGGGGCATGAAGGGAGGCAACCAATCGATGTTTCTCCCCCCCTTCCACTCTCTCTAAGTATCAGTGAAAACATATTCTTGAGTGAGGATTAAAAAAATTAGAGTAAATTTTCCTAGTTTTGAAATCTTTACTTTTGGACTACAGCTAATAATATTTATATTTAGAATAGGGGGCAAAAATAATTCATTATGGACCCTAGTCTTAAAATTTCATGCTTTAATATTTTAAAAATATTTCTTCAAGGTTTTTGTGTAAATAGTGGTATAAAGAAAATATCTTTGTGTCTTAATACCACTGCTAAATATGCATAAATAGCTTTCTCCTCATATTCTAGTTAACTATTAATCATTACTTGTCCTTTCACATGGCCCATTGTATGTATTCATAGGATGTAATAAAGCTAGATTAGGAAAATAGATATGCAGCAAATCTGGCTGAATGCCTGTTTTTTGTGTGAATAAAGATTTATTGGAACACACACACACACACACACACACGCATGCACATGGAAAGAAAACAGGCAGCTAGATGTGGCTAACAGGTCCAAAAACTGTTGGACTATTAAAGTTTTCACTTTGACATACGAGTTTACAAGGTTAATAGTGTTTGACTCAATCCATCAAGAACTGTGTCCATGTGTCAGAGATTTTATCCTATGATGAAAAATTTTGGAGAAGTGTTACACAGCAGTGCCCTTTGGTAGACAGCTTCTCACCAGCACCTCCCCAGGCCCAGCAAAGCCTGTGTCAATTCCCTGTACCCTCCCAACCCACTCATTTCCTATAAGTACACTCAGAATAACAAGAATTAATAAATTTTTAGATATGCATATCCTACTGAAAGTAGGATGAATACAGCATTTTTCAAGGCAGATTAAAACAAACAAACAAAACCGAAGGCAAACTATAGGAATATAAAGTGCAAAGTTTTGCACTTAGTAGAGGGTGTAAGAGGGGAGAGAAGTGAAGTGGTACACAGATCAAGAAACTGAAAGCTTCCCAGCAGAGCTCTGTGCTAATTTCCAAATCCCAAACCACAAAACCCATTCAGTTCCAACTGTATCTGTGATAGTATTCAAGCTCAAAGCATACAATTATAAGAGGATATATAAGTACGACAATGAAAAAGGATGTCAGAAGAATGGTACACAAAAATTAAACATAAGTGGAACCAATATTAAGCATTTAACTCTGAGAGAAAAAAATCAAACGTAACTTGCTCTTTGTGTTCCAAATAGTTGAAAATTCCAGAATTACTGGAGAGCTGTAAGGTGGGTGGTGGGTGGGTGGGTAGAGAAATATTTAAGGGAAAATGTCATGAGAAAATGGGCTTTGACATCATTAACACTATGGTACTCGGAATATAAAGACATACAATTTTATTTTTAATACAAATCAGAGTTTCAAATGCACAAGAAAACTGCAAGCATTACTTCACTGCTTCTTGTGGAGTTATTTTTGTTAAACAGGAAAAGATCTAGAAATAAAATAACATAACTACAACAAAAAAGGGGTGGGTTTGAGAGGGACATACTAAATAATGAGCTACATAAAATGAATTTGAAGCACATTTATTTTTAAAAGGCCAAGTTTATATGGAAAGGATCCAGAAAGAGACTATAGATGTAGAGAAGAAAACTAGAAAAGAGAAGCAGAGCTATCTCATTCCAGCTCCAAGGACAAACACTACACTTCTTCTCAAACTATGTCAAAGAGAAAATGCTCCACTGGTTTCTAGAAATATGGAGGAAATAAAAATTTCCCACCCCTTGTAAATCAGTTCCAGGATTTCCTCTAGGAGGTTATGTAACACAAGGCTTGGAGCCACACTTGGAGAATAAAACTCATCTTTTTAAAACTAATATGAAATTTTACAGCAAAACAACGATTTTATTCTACTTGATTATAGGGCTGCAAACACAATACTAACTAAGTACTAACATTTCTGCTTCGATGTACTGTATTTGTTTAAATCTTGAATGATGTGAGGGAAACTACTTTGGCTTAGCATAAGTGATACATGACTGTACTAAAGTTGCAATCTCTATGATTATAGGTACTTATGAGTGAGTACCTACTGCATGCCAGCTTCTATACTAAGATCTTTACCTGTACTATCTCATTTACTCTTCAGCACAGCTCTAGGAGGCAGGGATTATTATATTTACTTAATATACAGGCAAAGTAAGGTGGAGAGAGAAGTGACCTAGCAAGGCACACAGCCACTAAGTAGCAATGTGAGGATCTGAAATCAGGTCTGTTTGATATCAAAACCTGTGCTCTATCTGCTCTGCTATATTTAATATTCTGATTCAGTACATGTCAAATATCCAGCTGATGAATACAATCAACTTTAATATCTCTGATGTGCTTTTATTTAATACCAAGAGAAGAAAAGTGCCATATAAAGAATAACCCTATAAATGTATTTTACTATGTCTGCAGACCATTGTAGCCAAGAAAATTATACCTGGTTACAAACTCAATGCCTTGAAAAGGGCCAGAGTCTAAGTAAACAATAGGTGATTTTTATGATAAAACGGAACAATCAGTAAATGGCAAAAATCCAGACTACTGGGGCTTATTCTAATCCATTTGGCAGATTTCACTTATTAAAATTCATGGGATCACAAGTATTGCTGTTTGCTAAATTAACAACATGAATAGGAAAGAGTTAACAGCTTAAAGAAAAAATGTAAAAGGTAATCCTAATATCCTAATTCAGCTTATTTTATATTCCCAACATTTATTTCCTCTACTCACTCAATGGTTGATCAAGTTCAAGTTTGTGTAGAACCGATGTTTCAGACTGCAAGGTGTTTCACAATGGAATGACACAAGTTAAAAGAAGTGTTTCATTTGCTTGCATAGACTCCAGACAATAAATTCTCTATCAATGCTTCTTATCATCAGCATCATTACTGTCATAACTAGGAGTTTAATAGCATCACTATTATTGAAAAAGCCTGTTTGTTTTTTAAATTTATGGTTAGCCTATTAATATAAGTTTCCTTTAACCACAAGTTTATTTGGACAAGTGATATTTTCTTTCCACAATATAGAAATCTGCATAAGAATTTTTTCTACGTACATTCTATACATATCCTTAGAAAGGTATATTATAGCCCCTAATTCAGTTTTTTTAAATTGCTGCTTAAATGTAAAAATATCACACGATAACTTGTATTTTCTTTTTCAGACTTTCTTTTGTTATGAAATATAACCTTCAGTAGCAATATAACTCCAATACCAGTAAAGAATCAGACATTTTCAAATAAGATTAAATGAAAACATTAAAAAATATGATGTTTCTGTGTGCTGAAAACATTTATATGTGTTAGGGAATAGATTCCTTTCTCCTTTTATCAAACAGTCAAGAATCAGATTAGAATTTACCAACTTCATTACAATTCCTGTCAATTACTGCAAAATTTAAAGCTTTCAGAAAATTCCAAGCAGTATTAGTAATATCATTTCTGATTTATAAATCACTAAAAACAAATGCTTAATTTATCGATAGTGTCTGCATTATTACAATTAAAAATACTAATTAAATTTTGTCAAAGGTAAAGTTAATTCGCAGTCCCTGTGTTTCCCTCGCCTTTCCAGGGTCCTATTTCTGAACTGCCCCGGGGAAATGTATTTTAGCCGGTGTTGAGCTTTTAGAGGGCTTTATTTTTAGAACGCTAATATACACTATCACTCACAGGGTAGGCATGAAAACATTGCTCTCTGCTGGTGAAACTTAGTGACCCCGTCCCTTGTGGTTGGCACATTCAACTGTCAGCGTCTACCACGGGACAAGCCCCAGCCCTGCGGTGTAAGCGCTCCACTTTCCCGCCGGGGCGTTTTCTGCCGTCTAAGAGCGCGCTGTGGGCTGCTCCCTGCCCGATGAAACAAAGAACCAAAGATTGCCCCCGAAATGTTCGAAAACTCTACCCGGTGTCCCGGTCACCACACATTCATGAAAAGGGGGACGGAGGGAGGAGGGGGAAAAATGAAAGAAAAGCTGTGCCAGCCTGGTCAGGGAGCAGCCGCCGCGCCTTACCCACACCGGACAGTCGTGGACTACCAGCTTGACGTTCCCGAACGCGCTGGCCTGATACTCGGTGAACACGGGGCGCGCGACCGTGCCGGTCGCGTTCAGCAGCAAGCTGCTTTCGTCCCCGGACACCAGCGGGCTTCTCCCCAGGTAGGTGCGGATGAGCCCCGACGGCCGATTGTCCTGGTGAAAGGAGTCCCCCTCGTTCCCCAGCGCCACGATATGAATGGACCTGCAGAACAGAGAGGGGCCAGGGGAGAGGGCGCGTGGTCAGCGCGGGGAGCACTTCAGCCCGAACAGGAAGTGCGGGGCCGGCGAGCCGAGAGGACCGGCACCAGCCCCTCGCCCCGGGCGCAGCACGCGCGCGGGGGTCGAGACAATAGCAGGACCGCGGCGCGCACGTACATGATCTCCAATCCAAGGGCAGGGCGGCGACGCGGAGAAATGCGGCTCCCCACGCCCGAGAGGCCGCTGCGCGACGTA